CACATTGGTGCCATTAATGTCTTATGTAATCAGCTGTGGAGCTGAGTATTCAAGGTGAATGACAGAACTAAACTGTGTAGTCAACATATTGGTGCCATTAATGTCTTATGTAATCAGCTGTGGAGCTGAGTATTCAAGGTGAATGACACAGCTTGAATTTTATTGTAAACACATTGGTGCCATTAATGTCTTATGTAATCAGCTGTGGAGCTGAGTATTCAAGGTGAATGACAGAACTAAGCTGTGTAGTCAACATTATTGGTGCCATTAGCTGATTACATAGACATTCCTTGAATACTAAGCTCCACCCTTGAATATTCAGTTCCACAGCTGATTACATATGACGTTAATGGAACCAATGTGTTGACTACATAGCTTAGCTCTGTCATTCAACTTAAATACTCAGCTCCACGGCTGATTACATAGGACATTAATGGCACCAATGTGTTTACTATAAAATTCAAGCTGTGTCATTCACCTTGAATACTCAGCTCCACAGCTGATTACATATGACGTTAATGGCACCAATGTATTGACTACACAACTTAGTTTTGTCATTCAACTTAAATACTCAGCTCCACGGCTGATTACATAGGACATTAATGGCACCAATGTGTTTACTATAAAATTCAAGCTGTGTCATTCACCTTGAATATTCAGTTCCACAGCTGATTACATATGACGTTAATGGAACCAATGTGTTGACTACACAGCTTAGCTCTGTCATTCAACTTAAATACTCAGCTCCACAGCTGATTACATATGACGTTAATGGCACCAATGTGTTGACTACACAGCTTAGCTCTGTCATTCACCTTGAATACTATGCTCCAAGGCTGATTACATATGACGTTAATGGAACCAATGTGTTGACTACACAGCTTAGCTCTGTCATTCAACTTAAATACTCAGCTCCATGGCTGATTACATATGACGTTAATGGAACCAATGTGTTGACTACACAGCTTAGCTCTGTCATTCAACTTAAATACTCAGCTCCACAGCTGATTACATATGACGTTAATGGAACCAATGTGTTGACTACACAGCTTAGCTCTGTCATTCACCTTATAAAGTTTTAGAAGTTATGATGAAATAATTAAATGAAATTAAATAATTATTTAATCCAAGTATGAAATAAGATTGGAAATCTACTGTAAGCGATTCTAAGCAACCATGTTTAAAACATTTATAAGAGTTAAAAACAATTCTGATACATGCAAACTGATTTGTTACTAGGCTGTAATGTAGAGATGTTTAAGTATTTAAAGTAAACTTCTGTGTATATTGTTTATTAGCACAGTCTACACAAAAACTTGGCACTTTTACAAAATTTGTAATGATCATACTATTTATATTTTGTGATAAAATATCAAATTCACTTGACCAAAAATAATTGTAAGATTTTACAAGTTTCAAATATTGAGCTCTATAATTTTGCTCGAAAAATATTTAGGCTATTTAAAAAAAAAATTAAGGAAGTCTTCAAAACTGAAAGTTTGTTGGTAGTAAGGTAATGACAGAATTCTAACACTTTATTTGAAACACTACCACTGTAAACTGGTAGAATTCAGAGATTATCAAGTAATATAATATATCTGATCTTAGATTTTAGAACAAAATCCTTGTGGTTAGTTGCCGATGAAAGGAAATGCTGATTTAGAATCAACATGTACATATGGTAGTTGGAAAAACTCATTATCTTGTGTATAGCCGCCGACCCCCCCCCAAAAAAAAACAGTATAGTAGTTGTTGTCACAATCACTTATCAATTGTTTGCATGCATGAAAACTTAGTCTAATATAAAGAAATGATGTATTTATTCTTAAGTAATGTTTCAAAGCTTTAAATTTGCTTTTTCCTGAAGTTTTACGAAGCTTCAGTGGTCTTAACACAAGAGATACATGTGTTAAAATGTATTTCTTTCACAAATAGCTGAACTTATAACAGAAGAATAGTTCATTTTTCTCTCAGGGGTAAAGTCAGAAATGTTTGCTGGGAGGGTTAAAAAAGGCAAGGTAAAGAAACCTAGTTGTGTTCATCAACATGCTTTTTAATAAATTTTTCTTTGTTTTGTTTAAGTTGGACATGACAGAAACCATGTTTGTTTATTTTCATCTACATGTATGTGACATCACAACTAACAGAGGTTTGATACAGTGTCATTGTTTCATAATTTAACTGTAGTAGTTGCTTCTAATTACACGAGTTTCCATTTCATTTACGTAGAAACGTAAGAACACTTAAGAGCATAATAAAATATACAATTCCAGTCTGATATATAACTAAGCTAGTAAATTATATGTAATCAGCCGTGGAGCTGAAATATTGGCGTTATGGTTCTTTTAAAAAAATTTATTCAGTCTTCTGCTACAAATTAGAAGCTTCAATGGTAAATAATTTCAAATGATAGAAAAATAAAAACCATTTACAACTAGAACAGAGAAACATGAAAACTAAGTTGAAATTATGTATCATGATGCCAATGTATTTCAATTGCAATTAAACAAACAACAACAAAACAAACAGAAGACTCCTTTGCTGTCATACACACACATCTACTTATAAACTATATATATATATTATACAAATGTGACTTACATGCTTGATAAGCTGAAGTACCTTCTGTTGTAGTTTTTCTCCTGTTTGTGGGTTAGATCCAACAGTATGGAGACAGTCAACATATTGTGCAATCACTGTGTGAGAGGTTTCGGCTTTTAGTAATGGACTTAAGTCATCCAAAATTGTTTGGGGCTGAATGACACGGCTCTGAAGCAGCTGTCGAATAACACTTATCACCTTGGCACGCACTGGTGGCTCTCGCTCTTTCTGACAATGGTCCACAAGAATTTTATATATAGTCTCAACATCTTCTAGCTGAAAACAAATATATATATATATATATACACACAAATATAATATTGCTCTGCATGGAAATGTATTAAAGTATCCCATTCTGCTTTTTTACCTCTTAATAATTCATTATTGTATTGTATTTCTTACTTTGTTTATGTACATTTTAAAAACTTTTCAAAAACAACAACAAAAGTTCACGTAAAAGAGTACTGCTGAAAT